TATTAAATTGAATATGATATCAGATTTTTGTATAACTTTACTTCAGGTTAACTTAGAAAGTGAGCTGTTTTTGTTTCAGGTTAGTTTTCTAAACTACAGAAAAGTAACTGTTAGGGAAGCACAAAAATGGAAAGACTTCACTAATATTGATATCCGATAGTAACACCAGTGCTATGCCAGATTTACCAATATTTTATTTTATACATTTTTTTATCCGATTACTTGATTACTAAAATATTTGTTTACAACAGCCCTGGTTAACACACAAACATCCTTCTCACCAATAAGAACGTTGATTCATCATTGATTTAACTACTGATATCAATAGTTGAACAGTTTTATTAAAATTCATCATTAAAATATGTAAAAGTATTCACTGATCCAAGTCAATGTACAGTGAATGAAGCCAGTTTATCCCGACACCCATAAACATTCCATCATTTCACACGGTTGTATACAGACTCGGTCTTCTACCTTTGTCTAAATTTCCCAAATGTTTTTTTTAAAGACAACAAGACAAGTTCTAATGAGATAAAGACGCAGCAACTCTGCCTAAGTAGACAAAGCATTTGATGGGTGATTCTTTTTTTGCGGCAACATTTTGGCTTCAGGACATTTGAAAAAAAAGTATTAATGTTTTAAGTTTTAAATATTGTGTTACCACACAGACATGTTTAACAATAAGAAATTAATAATGGGCAAGCTCAGGATTGGATAAATTAATAATTACAGGTGTTTTTTTTCACCATTGTCTCTGAATGTGTTCCACCCTGTTAGGAACATTTACATATAGACCACAAATAGTTAAACATTTAAATTTTGAAAAATAATGACTTTTTCTTAAAAAGAGTGAGTCCCTTTTACTATGTAATATGTTTGATTCTTGAAATTGTAACGCGTCATGAAGTTGCGAATCATTTATGACTGTATTATAAAGAAAAAACAGATTTTCCTACTCATTATTACTGACGGCATTGAAAATATTGGTCATTTTAAAAACTTCTACCAATATTTGCATTTATTGGTTTTTAGTTCCCAACATGGCACAGAAAAATTCACAGTATTTAATGTTTCTGTAACAATATTTAGTAAAAATATGTGTGGAATGGAACATCACACTCCATTATTGTCCCATAACAGGGTGGAAAATCAATGTCTTTGATTCTAAAATCTGACGATTTTCATCATTGGTTGCAGGATTGCCTCCTTCAAGTCAAAGTATAGGCAGAGTATTTGTCCTGGCTCTATTTGGGAAAACAGGTGACATCCCTGTAGTGGATTTTCCCATGACAGGTACTCATTGTTCCCCTCACAGGAGTCAATGGGGGCAACTAGTGAAATGAAAACAGACAAATGGCAAAGACATCTGATAATACCTCAGACTACTCTGCAACTCTATTCCATCATCTGACATTTTTTATTTTACTTAAAATGATGACTTTTCACCCTAATTTTCACCCATAACAGGGTGAAACTTTTCTAACTAATCTACCTGTAGCTCTTTATGTGGTGAACATTTAGCTAGCTAACCTTCAACAGAATAACAAACCTTTAATGACTAAATCTAATATAATGTTTTTTAAATTCTACTGAATAAACATTTTTCACAATCTATCCTAACAGGGTGAAACTTTAAGCTTTACTCATCCAGGTTTAACATATTTAAGATAAGAAAAAGTACAGAGATGGTGACAGTTGAAGCTTACTTTGTTTTCATGGTTGAATTTACTTCAAAACCTTTGATGTCACTTCCTTTAAATGGTTTTTATGGAATTTTAGACTTTTTGAAGGCAACAAGGAAACATCCTAACAGGGTGGAAAGTTAGTACTGGGACATGTATGAGGAAAATATCAAATAAGAAAAATAGTTTCAACAGATTCAATTGCATATTAAAATAATGTTTAGTCCAATCAACTTATTGAAGAAAAACATAAAATTATATATATTTTATAGTTTAAACTTCATGAGGAAGTCTATTACATTGCACTGGGGACACAATGAAATTGAGCATGTCGGTCACCAAAAAGGAGTGTAAAGAACAAAAATAATATTTAAAAGGCATTTCATTTATATTTGAATAATGGCAAACATATAAATATATAATTAAAATACTTTGTTGTAAATATTTGGCACATTTTACAAAAAATTATTGTAAGCAAAACATGGGGACATGGAATGTTGCCGCAAAAAAAGAATCACCCTGATATGACGCAATTTGAAGCATTATGGCACTACAAAATAATCAAGCAAAAAACAGCATGAGGCGAGTGCGATACTTCCTCCATGGGCTGAAACACCGCTCCACTAACAACCCTAACAAAAACTGTTTAAGCAGCCCAACACCCCTTAGAGAGGGTGTAAAATAAGATAAAAGCAGAACTCGTACCACGATCTTTGCTAACTTGGTGTAACTCTTAAGGTCAGCTAAGAGGAGCCCAGCGCTGGACGGTGAATGTCACTCCATCTCTTCCATTTGTATGAATTGTAACATCTGATCATTTTCAGCAAATCTCATTATTTCTCAAAGAAATGACACTGAGGGGTTTTGATCGGGTTCCGGAACCGGTAACCGGACCTGGGTGGTGCAGAGAGGGGAAAATGGGTGAACTACAACATTATGAAAACAAGGGTTTATTTGTAGGATTTCTTAAAATAAGGTATTTGTTTCAAATATAATACAGCAATGAACCATTTAATTTCATGAGATTTTTAAGCTACCAATGTATTTGTCACAAAACATGTTAAAACCCCTTTACTGCTACAATGACACAGATGTCCTCATAAACCCATTTACATCACAGTAAAGGGGCTAAACAAGCTGTTTTTTCTTTTGTTTTGTTTTTTTATTTTACTTCCAGCAAAAAAAATAGCTGGAAGGAGTAAAGTCTTAGAAAGTGTAACAAGCTGTGAGAAAAATGCCTCGTTGTTAGGCTTTCTAATCAAACATTTCCTTTCTTCTTTACAGTCTTCATTTCTTAACACTTTAACTTAATATTCAAGAACCTGGCAGTGGAAGTTTCTGTTAAGTAATTTGTTTTATCCATTTTATTTGGGACAAAATTCCCCTTTGTAAACACTTGTCACAATGTACAGAATTCTGATGTTAGAAAATTTAAAAACATTTTAGTTTACTTAAACATTAATCAAAAGTCACGCATCTTAACTCAGCTATTTCTTAGCTAAAATATTTTTGTTCCAACACTGAACACAGTTTCGTTGAGAAAACAGTCTAGGTTAATGCTAGCCACGTGTTAATGCTAGCTTACTTTGAGCCCTTGTCTCTCAGCTCTCTTCCATCTCTACCAGAACAAAGCAGACCGTGACGCTTCACAGGATCTTCCTGCTGTTTCTCTGCTTCTACAGCACGTGCTTAGCAAGACGACGAGGTTCCAGCTCGAATTAAGCGCTGTAATTTACCAATGAAACTTTACTAATGAATACAACTTTATGCATTCATTACATCACAGCGTGTATCTAATAACGCGACCCTATATCTGGTAGCACCTTATTTTCACCTAGAGTGATTCCCACTATTTTTAAAAAGGACTGCGACGGAGATGAAGGCCAATTTCTTTTCTGAACCTCTGAACCCAGAACAAGACATTAAAGACACCATGAAACGGGACCTAAACCCCGTCACACGTGATGTTACTATACCTGGTCTCATGTTAGTTGAAGATTAGCGATGAAACAACAACCCGAAAACTTGTGCGGCGCTTTTCCTACAGCGACTCCAAATCTGCGTTTCACCACACACAGTGAACACGTGTGGATGTACCGCACATGCGCAGAGAGGCTTCTTCTTCTTCGTTGTCCTTTCTTTTTTTCTGTTTTCATCAGTTACCAAATAGAATGTACTGCCACCTCCTGGGCTGGAGGATGAAAATGTAGACAAACAGATTTACCTTCTCCGCAGTCAGTCAAAGAACCTACCAGCCAGCTTATTTCGTTGTATCTGGAAGTACTTAAATTGTCCTCTGGGCTAGTTTACCGCAGGTAAAATAGGAAAATCGCCCATGTTTGCCCTGATTTAGGATTCATTTTCCTATTCCTTTTCCAGACGTTTGTCCCCTTTCAGGCAGGTAGATTCCAGGTTCTCATAGGGTCACGTAATCTAATGACTTATTAAATTTTCTCTTTTCTTTATTTGAACTAAATAATGCTCTTAGGAATTAAAAATAAACTCCCCAAGAAAATATAATTTTTATTATATTATGATTAATAAGCTTAGTAATTGATCTAAAAATATTTTTACTGGAATGCTATAATAAGATCTGGGAAGTTTATTATTATTATTATTATTATTATTATTATTTTTTTTTTTTTTTTTTTTTTACCTACGGCATGGAAAGAAGCATTCATAGTTCCAATCCTAAAACCAGATAAAGAGTGGTCAAATCCAGCAGGTTACAGATATATTGCTTTATCTTCATAAATATGTAAAATAATGGAGAGAATGATAAATTAAAGATTTATCTCTACTTTGCTGAGAGGACATATCAAATTCAAAGTAGATATAGAAAAGACAGAAGCACTATGGATCCTATTCTATGTTTAAAATATGAAATCAGAAAACAACAATTTAATAAGGAGACTTTGATGGCTGTCTTTTTGATATGGAGAAGGGTTATGTATGATGTGGAAGGAAGGTTTTATAATAAAATTTTAAAAGATGGGAATTAATAGATCAATGTTTTGATTGATCCACTGGATTAAATATTTTTTTACAAGATCAATCAATGCAAGTAAGAATAGGACAATATTTTTCAGATAAATTTTTGGTTGAAAATGGTATGCCTCAGAGAAGAATACTGAGTCCTTTGTTCTTTTCTATTATGATTAAAGATATGTTTTAAAATTTGGAGAGTGGAATGGGGTTTTCTTTCTTTCTTTATTTATTTCTTGAATAGATCAGTTTTAAAACTTCCCCCAAACAACAAAAAGTATATTTATAAGTTAAATTAGTTAGAATATAGAAAGTACAAAATACACCACCTGTTAGTGAGGGGATAAACCCCTCAGACATCAGCAACAGCAACATTAGTTAAAAAAAAAAAGTGAATAATATTCAGTATCAAGCCTTGAGGTTATGTACAGGTGCCATCAGAACAACTCCAACATCAGCTTTACCAGTAGAAATGGAAGAGATGCCGCTTCAGTTCAGAAGATTACAGTTAATTTCATCTTACTGGTGTCATTTAAAGGATCACAATGGAATCATGTCAGAAGATTTTAAAACCAACTTTAGAAAAGGAAAAGAAGAAATTAAATTATTTTGTCTGGACTGTAGAAGACATTATAAAAAATTTAGATTTATCTGACATAAATATCAGTTTCTCTATCACTAGTTCATCTGTTTCTATTTCCTATTAGTGTTGTTGATTTTACTTTGTTGGAGATCAGAAAAAAGAATACCTTTCAGATCCATATTCAGTACAATCCATATTTAAATTATATGTATTATGGATGTGTCCACGTTCATACAGAGGCTTAAAAAACTCAAATAGGGATTACATTTTAAAACAGGTAAAATGATTACTCTCTCTCTTGCTCTCGATGAAGGGGGACACTTTTTTCCTCTGCTCCCTCCCTGCCCATGCCTGCTCTTCTTGCTCTGTTTTTGTCCTGTCTTTTTCTATATTTTTGGAGCCTTTCTTTGCACATCATCCAAGTCTACAAATTATGGATCTGGTCAACCGATCTCTCAATGCAGTTGATCAAATTTTCGACCAGAAGTCTGGGCACAGGAGAGCCCTGTTGTCCTGCGGGGACACACCCGGTGGGATTCATCCTGGATTTATTCATGATAACAGGATTTCTGCTGTTTGGAGCTTGTGGATTCCTGGATTATCGACAAATTTGTGACGGACTTGGCCAAACTAGCGAACACTCAGATTGTTGGTGTGGACAGAGACGAGGACTCTAAAACTCACTAACGAGTTGGAATCGATCTTGGAGAAGTTGCTAGATTCGGTTCAGTGGAACAACCAAACTAATTTGGATGAATGGGAACCGAGATGTATCGGAGAGACTTTAGGGAAGATTGAAATTTATAATCTCCCCGAAGCACGGCTTCTGAATTGGCTTTTCCCGTGTGGCCTTGGAAGGACTGCATATTTCTAATCTTGAAGATATGTAAACACAACACTATTCCCTCCTCACCCTCTCCTGTATCCATTGAGTTATGGAGCTGAATGCTCCCAAGGACATCACTCCTTGATAAACAACACCTCTATCGAACTTTGCCAGGAGTGTCAGCGACATCGCCTTTTGATGTCACCACCTTCACCCATGTCTTTGTTTTGCCCATTGTTTTGTCTGGATGTTGCCATTTGCCCTAATGTGTCCTTTCCTCTTTTGTTGTTAGAAACGGTGGAGTACTCCCTATTTAACCCAGAAAAGGATTATTTTAGTTTATTAGTAATATCAGAAATTGTGGAGTATGCACTATTCAGATCAATATTATACAGCCCAGAAATGGAATCAGAATTAGAATTAGAATAACTATGAACTTGGAATCCAGAAATAATTAACAGGAACAGTCACTGCTTAGTTTATATTACTTTTAACCCAGAAAAGGATTTAGATCAGTCATTCTTTAGCTTATTTTATCAGAAACTGTAGAGTACTCTCTATTTAGAAATGGAATTAGATACTTAGCAACCCTGAATAGGAACACTTAGTTTACATACTTAAGAACAACATTACATTAGTTTTCTTTCCTCTTTTTTCCTTTTGGTTTGTTATTTTCTTTGTATTTCCTTTTAATTCATGTAAAGCACTTTGAATTGCCATGTTGCTGAAAATGTGCTATATAAATAAAATTATCTTACTGTTGGAGTCTCAGTTTATACAGGAGAGATGGTGGGAATCATTTTATCTCTACAATGGATTGAGGAAATTGGTCCATTAAGAAGTGTTATTTGTTCAGATTCAAGTTTGCTATTCTATTCATTTAAAAAAAATTATTCACATTGTAGACCAGACTTTTCATTAGAGATTAAATTATTAATTTATAGAATTCAGACAATAGGTTTATTAGTTATTTTTACATGGGTACCATCACATATTGGGATAAAAGGTAATGAGTTGGCAGTTAACTATGCAAACCAAGCAACAAAAATAGTTATATTATTGGTACCATAAAGGAGAAAGCAAATTGATTATTAAACAAAAGGTTAAGGGGAAATGGCAGAAACACTGGCAAAAAGAAAGGACTGGAAGGTGCCTTTTTAGCATTCCAAGAAAGTTGTTATAATGAGGAGAAATAGAAAGGAGGAAACAATTATATCCAAATTACATTTTGATCATACAGGGTTAAATAGTACTTTATTTAAAATAGAAAAACATGGAACAGAAAATGTGATTTTTGTTTTCAAGAAAAGACGGTGAAACAGGTTTTATTGTTTGTTACAAATATTCTGTTGAGAGGAGGGAATTAGTACTAGAAGACAATAGTTAAATAAGATATTTTGGACAAACTTTCCACTTCTGAATCTGTTTTTTTATTTTTTATTTTTTATTTTTTTTTACTAAAATACCTCAAGAAGACGAAATTGATAAAGAGGATATAGAGATTATTTTATTTTATTTTTTTCAAATTTGTGTAAAATATATTTAGCGTTAAGATCCCTACTCCATTCCAGTAGACGGCGGTAATGTACATCTACGCGTTACTTGTCAACTGCCACGAAAGAAAAAGAAGAAGACAACGACACGTCACTGAGGTTATATTAAAGAGAGAAGATGGCTAGCACTGCGGGTAGTTTTCGCCTGTAAGTATAAATAGTGGCTTTATTTTCTGTTTATTCCAATTTTAGACCCATGGGAAGCTTTGACCACACAAACAGTGGACGCTTCACTTTCACTTTAAATGTAAATGCGATGTGCGTATCTTACAAAGCTAACTCAACATGTTACACCATAGAAAGTTTCCCTTTTTAGAGAAGAATGCGACGGTTTCAAGTCAGCAGTACCAGTGAGTCTGTAGAACATTAAAGCGACTGATGAAGGTTCTGGCAGGTCGGAGCGGGATGTTGTTGACAGTCTTGGGGTTCGTCTCTAACGCTGCTAGTCCCAGCAGCAGCAGCAGCAGCAGCAGCTCGCTGTTGGTTATCTTTCAGCTTTCTACCGGGCAGTTGTAGTTAAGCTTCCAGTTTGCTCAGTTCTGTGGTCCACAGCACCAGCTGAGGGTTTTGATGAGCCTACTGCGGGTGTCATAGTGATGATGTGATCTGTTCTCCTGTCCCAGGCACACCACAGCGGAAAAGTTCTACATAGAGCAAAGTGATGATGACTCTGTGGATGTCCTGGTCATTGATAGAGTATCTACTGAAATGTCACTCACTGGTAAGCAGTCACCCTCCTGTTATGCATTATTATTTATATTTAAATACATTTCTAAAATTGCAGTTGTGCTGGATGCATTCAAACACCAGTGGTGAGAAAACATGTTTTAAAAAACAAGAAATCTCCTTCAGAGCCAGACTCATGACTGTCTGCCCTCATAGAGAAGGAGAGGACATGGGAAAAAGTTTGACTGATTTTGTAAGGAACAAAGAAATGGAAAACAAAACAACAGCCATAATTACAAATCTATACATGCTGTTCTTTTTACCTGTGTAAAAAGAATAGGGTAGCAGTGCAACAGATCTTTCCAGTCGTAACTGCTTCACCTCCATGGCACAAAAAGCATCAAAGTTAAAATGCAGTAAATATGCTGGTTTTGAACAGTTTTAGTCAGTCTTCTTACTAATTTTAGAAACAAATCCATTATAAGAAAAGTTATCAAACAGACAATATAAAATTTATATTTACAAGTGAAGTACTTCATAATTTAATCAATTTGTAAATGAAGTAATACTAGATAACTTGATAAAGTTGTGCTTTTATTTATTTATTTTTTACAAAAGAACTAATGTTTGGAGTATCATAATTAGGTCCTTAAATACATCAAAAATATCACAATGAAGTGTCTGGAATAAAACCTATTTTTTGGCTATTAGACTTGTGGAGTCATTAATTCATTTTGTTCGGCAGTAATACCTTGAAGCTGTTGGCTGGAATCTAAATGCAGCAGAGATGATGGGAAGGCCAAAGATGCAAAATGTCAAGGGTCATTTGAACAGCATTGCAATAAAAGTGAGAAGAATATGAATTCATCATAACTGATATTCTCATTACAATATTCAACAATATTGAAATCCTGTGATTTCTTTGTAATGATCAGCCCTAGTAAGTATATTGTTGCATATTTTAGGGGTGCAGCGATTGTAGCTTTCTGGCCAATCTCTGATTACTAGTGCAACAAGGCAGCCTTTTGCGGCTGGAGTTTACAGTGAGGAAGACTACTTGAGGCAGAGTCAGGTGGAAACAGCAGTGGGTTTATTCTTCTCACAGCATCAACAAAACATTTCACAGGTGAAACTGCAGGCTAAAATAGTCTCAGCTGTGACGGACCAAACCACTTCCAATTCACAGGGGGATCTCAATTCACCAATCTCCATCTATTTAAATAAAATACCTTTTACTAAACACAAACATTTCCATTTACTTTATATAAATATTTTATGTTTTATCTTACACCAAATGAAGCCACCACAGAAACCCATATATGACCCCCCCTTTTCCCCCCACTTTTCAATGGCCTCTCCCGGAACCTGTAAATGGTGTCTGGACCCCTGGGGTAGTATTTGTCCAAACACCCTGGAGAGGACACAGAAAAGACAGGCGAGTCACTTAATATCAGCACTCCACACCTAACAGATTATGCACAAACATTTGCTCAGTTTTACCCACCAGTAGCTCATTGCTCTGAGTAACAATTATCCTCCCTCCACAGGCAACCAGCTCACTTCTCAATGAGGAGCAGCTGTGCAGAGCCCAGAACAAAAGGCTACATGCTAATTACTAAAATACTCCATAAATACAATTAAAACTTCTCGTGTGCAAATTGTTATGTGCAAATTTCTACTTGAAGTGCAGTGCTAAATAAACTGCTTGTTAATAAAGTGCTTTTAAAGTGCTATACAGTGACTTAAGTAAAAATAGACCCACAACCAATCTTTAAAAAGCCTGATCTGCGGACTCTGATTTTGGCTGACAATAATGTTTTTTGTCTGAAATGATGCTAAATGGCATGTACCAGAGGTTTGGATTGTTTTTGTCTGACTTTGCTGCTTCAGTTTTTCTGTTTAAGATTGCTCACCAGTCCTCCAAAACACGATAAAAACCTAGAAAATTTGACGTTATGCTGTTACCACTTAGCAACAACTCATAGGGGGAAGTGAAAGCGTTGCACAACACAAATAATGATCTGAGCGGAATACGGTGCACTAAATAATAAAACATAATTTAAGGAAACTTCGAGGCAGATCAATTTTTCTCCAGGAATTTTAATAATGGAGGTACATTCGAGGAATCGTTACAGTTCTAGTTCCAATGTGAGACAACCAGTTTCCCTGTGGTGAAGCACACATGTTCCACAGTTGGTGGTTAATTTGATTGTGCCCAACATGTCAAAGTGTCGTTTTGCAAGACACTGAGCCATAAGGTGATGTGTGTCCAGATGAGTGGAAGCATCACATGGCCAATGGCAGTAAGACTGACAGATCTATGACAGAGCTGTCCATTATTTATTTATAGCTCCTGTAAATATTGAGCTTTAAAGCTTTCCTACTTTTCCTATTTAATTCATAGTGATATAGAAATTCTTTACTTTAGAATGGCCACTAACCATTGTCTCATTTCTGGACCTTAGTGAGAAGCGATGTTCCTATGTCAGCTGAAACCATACCAATATGTGGAGTTATGGGAACTATTCGATTGCCAGCAGGTATGTTCAGCATGGTGACATTATATTTCTGGAGTATGTCAAACTGTCTCAACTCTCATTGGTGTACATTCATCTCCTTCATGATCTGGTTTCTTCATAAATCTAGGCATGTACCTCATAGTGATCACAAAGAAGATGAAGGTGGGAGACTTACTGGGCCATGCTGTGTGGAAAGCTCTGAACTTTGACATCATTTCTTACAAAAAGACAGTACTACACTTGAACGATGACCAGGTTGGTTCTTTTACCTCTTTACCACCACTTACACTCCTCATGGCCCACTGTAGCAGAAGGACAACAAGCAGAAGCAGCATCCCAAACCGCACATTATGTCCAAACTGCTACATAGAGATCAAAAAGAGACAGCAGGTCTGTGTGACAAGCTGACTTGCTTCAGAAGGATGTGAAGTCTTGTTTTAGTGACATTTATACATATTGAAAGGTATCTTCATATTTTCACTAATAATAGTGTAGCCTTTTGCAGTTTTTGAAACTGTGAATAAAATAAATGAATAAAGATGATTATCAAATGTTCAAACAATCAGCAGGTCTGAGTTAGAGGTGCATTGGATGTTTTGGGGTTCGATGCTTATTTTTGTCATTAGAGAACTGAGGCTTGACTTGGAAAAAAGGCTTTTGAAAATCTGTGGTGGGATTTCAAGTGAGGTTAACGGTGTCTAAATAAATAGAAGTCAGGCTTGGGAACGTTGGAAGGGTTCTGTTTTTGTTCTTATTCACAATAGTTCCTCTAGATGGCAGCAAACTAGAGTAATACATTTTCACTTAATGAATTACTTACTCCACAAATAGCATTGTGGAGTAAGTAATTCTCCACAATTGTAGAGTAAACTTTGTTCGACATTTTTATTGTACTTTCAAATGTGTCTATCAGCTTCACATCTTAAAATATGTAATTAAGTATTTTAAGATGTGTTTTGAGATTTAAATAAAAGTATCAGTTAAACTTTAGCTGGTGTAGAAAATCAAGCAGGTACTGGACTGGGTTGGCATTGCATCTTTCCTTAGGATTATATTAACCTTTTAAGTAAGGCTGGACACTAAGCCAATAACTATACACATTATGATGAGTCAGTATCAATAAATAGAACATCTGGTAACACTTTATTTGAAGGGGTGTGCATAAGACTGACATGACATATGTCATGAACACGAAGGAGTCTTTGTGAATGTTTGACTGGTGTCAAAGTGTCAATTGGTAGTAAAAAAAAAGATACTGCAAGGCTGACACTTTTAGTGGACTTTTAATGCAACTTTGCATTAAAAATATTATTTACCGAATGACATTTTATGACAAGAGACAAACGTATGTGAAGATTCCTTCATGTTCACTACAGGTGTTATGTCATGTTTATGCCTTTTGCACACCTGTTCAAATAAAGTGTTACAAACATCTGATAGAATATGCAATATCTAGAATATTCACTGAACTCCAATCTAGAACCGCACATCATTCTGGGGGATTTGGGCAGAGGAAAGGCTATAGCTACTCAGTCTCTCACTAGTGATCTGGTGTTAGCTTTTCATATGCTAATCAGCTATCCCAGTTGTAGAAACAGTACATTGTTGCCATGGCTATACATCATAACATCAGAGTTAAAAAAAAGGGCTACACAGCATCCAAAATCAGAGAGAAAATTGTCCAAACATGCAACTTCTCATCCAAAAAAAATTATGAACAAAAGTCTCGAAAGGAACAAATCAGAGCTAACATAACAGAGCTGCCACCATAAGCAGCACAACTCTAGAAAGTTCTAAAGGTTTGGTGATCAGAACAGTGAAGAAGAACCTGGAAAGAAGCAGACCTTTATATCTATGAATTTTCTATTGCAGATGCAAGACAACAAAACATTTGTATCCATGATCAGTAGTGTGCTTCATACGGATGGCCTCTACTTTGCAACAGACTATGATCTGACCCACAGTCTGCAGCGTCTCGCAAACACAAGCCCAGATTTTCAAGACATGAGTCTTTTGGAGAGGGTAAGAGACACCAGACAGCCTTTATAACACTTCTCTCAAACACGATTGTTGCTACCAACCATGGGCATTTCACACAAAAATGTTTCAGAATCATTTTTTTTAATCACTGTCTTTTCATTGAGTTCTTTCCTTTTATGCATACAGTTTGAATACAGAGATGTTTATCCAACACAGATACAAAATAACATACAGAAAATTAATCCCTTCAAAGTAATCCCATTTAGTCCACCCAGGTCACTACCCAGTAGATCCACGGACTACATTCCTATCCCTGACAGAAGTGGAACGTAATAAAGTGAATTAACTTAATTAATCTGGAGCCTTATTGTATGTTTTGAAATGAGTCAAGAAAGGGCCCCCATGTTTTTTCAAATTTACTGGTTGAGTTTTGAAGAGAGCATCTAATTCTTTCCAATTTCAAACACGACATAAGGTCATATAACCACTGTTTGTGAGTCGGAGGAGCAGCACCCTTCCACCTGGTCAGAACTGTACGCCTCGCTAACAGCGAACAAAATGCCAGTGCCTGCCGTTTAAAGGCTGGTAAAGGCAACCCCTCACCACTGAAGCCAAAAAGAGCCAAGAGAGGGCCAGGTGTTATCGCGACTCCAGCCAGCCTGGACATCGTACGGAAAACATCTGTCCAGAACTGACCAAGAGCGGGACAGGACCAGTACATATGAACCAGTGTGGCCACAGTTGTTTTGCATTTGTCACAGTATGGGGTGATTTCTGGACAGAAATGAGATAGTTTGCTTTTGGAGAGATGGACTCTATGTACAATTTTGAACTGAATGAGACAATGGCGTGCACACAGAGATGTTGTATTCACCAGTTTAAGTATAGAGGCCCATGTCTTATCCAGTATAGCCATATTCAAGTCTTCTTCCCATGAGGTTTTAAGTTTAGATGAGGAGGTCTCTTTCATAGTCAACATTTTATTATAAAGCCACAAAACCAGCCCTTTACGAGTCGGGTTCAATAATAGGATGGTTTCTAACAGTGTATGCTCTGGCAGAGATACTGAGCCTAAAAGGTGAGACTGAAGAAAGTTTCTGGCTTGCAAATATCTAAAAAAAATGGGATTTAGGTAAACCATATTTATTGCTAAGTTCCTCAAAGGATGCCAAATTCTTCTCTATGAAAAGGTCCTTAAAATGAGTAAGCCTCCTCCGGTGCCACTCTAGGAACACCCCATCCTGAACAGATGATTTAAAAAAATGGTTAGGTGCAATTGGACTTAAGAGAGAAAAATCGTGGAGTATTTCCTAAACTGGCCCCATATTTTCAGTGAGTGTTTCACTACAGGGTTTAAAATAGGTTTAGCTGAAGCAAGCGAGAGTGGGGAGCAAAGCACGGCCGGGATGGATATGTTGTTACCACTGCGTAGCTCCATAGCCACCCAGTCAGGGCAGCCACCCAGGTTATGGTAAAAATACCAGAACACTAAGCATCTAAGGTTGGCGGCCCAATAATAAAACCGGAAATTGGGAAAGGCAAACCCCCCCTGCTGTTTGGATTTTTGGAGTTGTAATTTATTAAGCCTTGGGCATTTACCCTGTCAAATGAAGGATGAAAAAATCGAGTCCAGTTCATTAAAAAAAGTATTAGGAATAAAAATAGGTAAAGCCTGAAAGAGGTATAGAAATTTGGATAGTATATTCATTTTAATGGAATTGATACATTCCACAAGGGACATGGAAAAGGGTGTCGACTTGGTGAGGCATCCCTTCACTTGGTTCAACAGCTGAATCAAATTCTCTTCGAACAGGTTTTTATGTTTTTTTTGTCACTGTGATACCAAGATATGTGAATTTTTGTCTTTCAGTTCTGAGCGGTAAGTTAGCAAAATCTGACAAATTAGCTTTATTGCCTATAGGGGAAAGCTCACTTTTGGTAAGGTTCAACTTATACCCAGAAATCTGACTGAATTGGCTAAATATGTCGAGAGCAAAAGGCAGTGAGGTTGATGGTTTGGAAATAAAAAGTAAAAGGTCATCTGCATAAAGCGACACTTTATGTTCCATGTCATTCCTCCAAATGCAGGATAGCTCTTTACTGGTCTTAAGTGCAATGGCGAGGGGCTCTATGGCCAGATCAAACAGCAGGGGACTAAGAGGACAGCCCTGACGGGTGCCTCTTTGTAGTTTAAATGGTTTTGAAGTCTGAAAATTGGTACAAACCGTGGCAGATGGTTGCTGGTATAATAATTTAATCCATGAAATAAAGCTTCCTCCAAAGCCAAATCTACCAAGGACTGCAAAAAGATAGTCAAACTCAACCCGGTCAAAGGCTTTTTCAGCGTCCAAAGAGACAACACACTCAGCTGAATCTGGGGCACTGGAATAAACAATATTAAGCAGCCTTCTAACATTAAAATATGAGTGCCGACCTTTAATAAAACCTGTTTGGTCTTTTGAAATAACCGACGGTAAAACAGTTTAAAGTCTACAGGCAAGAATTTTGGATAAAATTTTGACATCTGTATTTAGGAGAGAGATGGGTCTGTATGAGGTGCATTCCACTGGATCTTTGCCCCGAATAGGATGCCCACTTTCAGTGTCTTCGGGCAGACCAAGGATGCGGATGATCTGCTGTCTGCTACGGCTCTCCAAGTCAGCCACTTTGTCTTTTAGCTTAGCATTTTCTTCACAAAAGAGCTGCACATGAGTCTTCGAGGCCAGCCACTCGCTGACCCAAATCTTCTGTTGCTAGGAGGAGACTCGCTCTGCCTATTCCTCCAGGTTCTGCCGCATCTGGTCTAGCTTGGAGCTTAGCATGTTGGCAGAAGACTTGAACTTGGATTTCAGGTCCTCACCGTGCTGCTGAAGCAGTGTGGTGGTAGCCTCCAGCATTAGGCTAGGGTCCTCCTTCTTGCTTCCTTTCGCGCTCTTTCAGGCCATAACTAGTGGATAAATAACCAAAATACTGTTTTTGTATTGGTGGGTGGTGTAAAATTAGGTTTCTGTGGGGTGAATTTAATTAAAAGGCTGGGATTTTCCAGAGCAGTCCTTTGCTACATCTACCCTGTCCGCTTGGCAAACCGGAAGTCCAAATGTTTCAGAATCATTTATAACTAATAGATTATTTTTCAGATAAACCCCCCCACCACCTGCCCACATTCATATGCTATGTTCACATTGCACATGACTTCTAACTTTTCAGTTAGCATGTTGGTTGTGCTAAAATAATCCTAGTGGGTATGTTTTCTAAAACTTTCAGTACAAATGGCACGTCCAACACAATCTGAAGAGATTATCTTAGCAACTGTTGAGGAAAACTCCCCATTCCATTTTTTCCTTCCATCAGCTGATCATGCTAGAATTTACGCCCAATCTTCGGGACACAAACGGTGTAGACCAGTTGGAATTGTTGGCTGCCTTTTTTAGCTTACAAGTGTTTCAGTTTTACTTCATTATGTTCTTTCCTTCTGATGCCATTTATTTTGTGAAGTGCACCAGTCCCTCCTGCAGCAAAACAGTCAATCGTAACATGCATCCAAATTTTAACATTGTGATGGTGTTCTCAAGTTATCAAACATAACAGTGGTTATTATGGCCAAACACTGACATTTTTTTAATTTAATCACACTGTAGAACATATCTCCAGAAAAACAAGATCTCGGTCACAGATTGCATTTGCAAACTGCAATCTGGATTTTATATTTTATCACTTTAGGAACAATGGCTTCTTCCCCTCTGAGTTTTTTACTTTTATCCCAGGACCTATTTTACTGTGAATGGTGACAGAAGAATACAGCTAGCATTGTATTTTTCTGGCATTTAGAAAATAAACATAAACTAGGAAATTTTAGCTGACCTTTGATTGGATAGGATAAGTCTGACTTGATGTCAGACAGAACATGGTTTACAAAGAAAACTCTGATAAATAATAACTGGCCTGTACATGTTCAGCTCTTCATCAAGTCTGTGTACTCCAAAGTACTTGCACCGCATTCATACACTGATGTTAATTTCATTGTTATTTTTTTTCTAAATTTCTTCCAGATTGTAAGTTTAGTGTAGCAAGATGTTAACTCAAACTTTAGAGCAGGCTAAGGCCCGACAGGGTGGAGCTTTAGTTCTTATCTGGAACAAGAAACCAACTCTTGTTGTTGACTGCACAGATCTTCTTGAATCATTAATAATAATATTATTGCAATATTATTATTATTATTGTTACAATAATAGTGCTTTGAAANTATGAAAAAAAAAATCTTTAAAGACTTTATTGCTTCCTCTTGTTACATTTTTGTCATCTGTGCTTGTCTTGATTTTTGATTTTTTTTTTTTTTGCAAATTTGCAGTGCATAAATTTTTTTATGTCATATCTGCTGTCAGTGTGATTCTTGTATCCCCATTTACATGTTAACTCTGTTTGTTCCAGGCAGATCAGCGCTTTGTTTGGAATGGCCACCTGCTACGGGAGTTTATGACACAGCCAGAGGTAAGATACACAAGTGACCTGTTTAATAACGTTTTGCCAGCACCAGACATGTTTCAGCACGTCTGCAATCACTCACTGTTTATTCAATGTCACATGCTGTTTTTATTTTAATGATGTAAAGCACTTTGAAATACCTTGCTGCTGAAATGTGCTATACAAATAAAATTTGATTGATTGATTGATTGATTGCAATATGAAATTTCCTCACTCCTAAATATTCCACTGTCAACTGTATTATAAGAAAAGTGTTTGGGAACAGCAGCAACTCAGCCATGTAGTGGTAGGCCACATAAACTGATGGATCGGGGTCAGCGGATGATGAAGCACATAGATCACCAACTATCTGCACAATCAATCACTAGACCTCCAAACTTCATGTGGGCGTCAGATTAGCTTGAGAGCAGTGCAGCTGGTCACCATGACTTTCCCCGGGTTTCCATGGTGACCAGCTGCATCCAAGCCATACGTCACCTAGTGCAATGCAAAGTGTCAGATGCTGTGTCGTAAAGCTGCCACTGGACTCTAGAGCAGTGGAGGCGTGTTCTCTGGAGTGACAAATTGTGCTCCTCCATCTGACAATCTGATGGATGAGTCTGGGTTTGGCGGTTGCCAGGAGAATGGTCCTTGTCTGACTGCATGGTAAAGTTTGGTGGAGGGGGGATTATAGTGTTGGGTTGTTTTCCAGGAGTTGGGCTTGGTCCAGATATAGTGAAAGGAACTCTGAATGCTTCATCATACCAAGAGATTTCTCATCTCTAAACCCTTTGTACAACCTTCCCAGAAGAGTTGAAGCTGTACTAGCTGCAGAGGGTGGACCAACATCATATTGGACCCTATGGAAGGGATGTTACTTAAGCTCATATGTGTGTCAAGGCAGGTGAGCCAATACTTTTGGCAAAATAGTGTATCTGCTTAACACTCCTTTCACCTGACAGGGGTAGGCTTCCAAAGTTGTTCAGGATGGATAATTTACCACCTTTACCTTTAAGAACTCAAAGAGCAATCGTTTGTAGTTTCTTGCATCTATAAAAGGTTCTCCTCAAAGTTAACCTGTAGTACAGATTTCACATTACAATACATGGGTGATAATGAAAATGAAATTAATATACTAAATGGGTGAATTGATGAATTAGTTAAAAAATATTTGTCAAAACCCAATGTACCAGGGGTGCACCGATTGCCGTTTTCTGGCCGATCGCCGATTACTGATCTTTAAAAAGCCTGGCCTGCCAATTCCAATTTTGGCTGATATAAATTATTTTTTTGTCTGAAATGTTTCTAAATAAAGCAAGAAAGTCACTGAGTTGGTAACAGTGGGGTGAATATTGTTAACTGCAAACATGCAGACATGAGCTGTGGGCCGGTCTGTCAGTCAAACCTCTCACAGGAGAGCAAAAAAAGACGGTGGTTGATTTCCAGACTTCTGCTGACGCAGAGAAGGTCTGTGGATAAGATTGACTTCACATGTGTCGGCCAATTACTGATCTCCTAATATTAAGGAAACGGCGCCGATAATCGGTGCACCCCTACTTAACAAATGTAAGCATGGTAGCTGTGTGTCTTGTCTGCTGTGTTGGGCTGCTGAACCAGCTAAAGTTTGGTGAGGGAGTGTGTGTTTGAATTGTTCACGTAGTAATGTTTCCTCACCTGTTTTACAGTTGCACAGGTTTGTGTATCCTGTTGTCCATGGTTGTATCCTTTTCTGTGGCTGTCTGCCTTGGTTTATTTTTTCCAATAAAACTGTTAAGGTTAGAAAGCGTAATGATGAAAACATAAACTTCAGAAAAAAATGTTCCTCTACTACACTGCTTCAGACAGGGAGTCTCAAGTCGTTCAGCCTTTTTTCAGTATATAATTTGATCACAAAATGATGAAATTGTAGTTTTTTTCTGCATTAGACTGGATTATTACCAATCAATCACAAGGCCAACATTGATATAATCACTCCATTCTGGTGGTGGAGCAGAATGTTGACGCAGATCGGGAACAAATAAACTGATGTCTGATTTTGGAAGTTGAACAAGAGTAACTTTTGCCATGTTTGCTTGAGCCACACATTTAAGATGTACCTTATCATTAATACATTTGATCTTTCAAAGCAACAATTTACAAAACATAAATATTTTAAGCATTTAAATGATTTCAACCGAAGTGGAAAATAACAGTAGACATGTTGGCATACTAAAAGTAACTTTAAAATATTTATTGGAAATATTCTGGTTTCATTTGAAAATTAACCTTAGAAGTGAGAATCATTAATTGGTGACTGACTGTTGATTAGAATGCAAACAACCTTTAATCTCAGTGGGGAAATTCAGGATTACCAGCAGCAAAGCCACAGGCAAGTTGAAGCATGTGTGACTGTTGCTTCATACTAACACTCTAAAGTGCTTATCAAAAGGTTAAATACAAACAGCAATGCATTAACTGAAGTCTATCTTGTTTTATAATGAACCCAGCAAAAAACAAATCTCCACTTGAATCTCGTCTGAGGTATGTTTCTGTATTGTTTCTTGGTTGTTGTTGTCACATTAATTCCTGTTGTTTCCATGTACAAGTATTGTTGGTTTCTTAACATGTTTCCTTCCCAGTCATTACCATTAACTCGAGCTCCATCAATGGAAAGGTGTTTGAGTGGATTATCATCTCCAGAAGAAGCTGTTTCAGAGCCGGCGTCCGCTACTATGTCCGAGGTAACTGCTGTAAGCTGCCTTTCACTTGGCTAATGTCTCCTGTTGCTCTGTGACCCCTGCAGGATCTCTGGAGACAAATATCTGATGCTTTTTTGTCATTTGTCCCCAATGTGATGAACAAAACTGGGGTTGGTACCCAGAAATATGGGGTTGCAGTTTTTATTCAACCGTTTACTGTGTAAAGCTTTGACAAGCTTGTTTTTGTTTTTTTATAAATTGCATTGCGTTATCTGCATGTTGATGAGTATGTTCTAAATGTGTTATGATACAATGTTCACATTAGTGAATGGCTAGGATTTTGTAGTAAATGACAATAAAACCAGTGCAAAAGTTTATATTTCATGTATGCTATTTTTATCATTTAGGCAAAATGAACATTCTTCTAGTTCCTAAATAAGTTTCTGTCTTTCTAGCATGTAATGGTAATTACATCATTTTCATGCTTCTTACCACAGCATACCAGCTTTTTGTAGACATTATCAAGATAAATGTCTTTTTGGTTTTTAATTTAACACAGGCATTGATTCAGAAGGCCATGCTGCTAACTTTGTGGAAACTGAGCAAATTGTGCAATACAACAATTACAAAGCTTCATTTGTGCAGGTGAGTCAAACAGCTGAGATTCCAAGTCATCCAGCAGTGGGAAAGTCAACCAATCAATAATGGCTTTTAGTGTTCTTTGTTTTTTGTCAGGGCTTTGTAAAGGGCCAGCATTAATATTTAGATCTGATTTTGCTGCTCTTTAAAAAAAAGTTGAGATACTAAGTCTGTTAATGACCGAGCAAATTAAATTGATTGACTCCTAGTGTTTGCCTTTATTTTCTGTTTCTTGATCGTAGATTTTTTTCACCACTGTTCAGTCTGCATTTTCCATTTTCCACACTCATTGAGACATACAAACCTTTGAAGTGCATCTTTGATATCTTTGGAGTGAAAATAGTCTCAAAATATCTGTGCGTGTGTAAAAAGATTTGTGTGTGTGTGTGTAAAATGATTTGTGCGTAACAGGATTTGTGCGTGTGTACAAAGATTTGTGCGTTTGTAAAAAGATTTGTGTGTATGTAAAAATATCTGCGTGTGTAATACTGGATTTGTAAACCTTAAAAATAAAATAAACCTTCTCCTACGCCTACACATGTTGAAAAAGTACACACAAATAACCTGGTACGCACACACAAAACTGCATTTACACACAGATCCGGTTACAATTGCACAACTATTTTTGAGACTCATTTCACGCTTCCGGGAAGCTCCCAGATTTGTGTAGATGGTGCGTTTACATGCTAGTAAAAGCTGGGACATCTGAGTTTTGCTGAGTCTAGTGTTTTTATCCTCTGACGTTTCTCACTGTGCTTGTGCCGAAGTGGCAAATACTTTAGTTCGTGGAAAACGGTATGTAGAAGACTGTGTGCATCTAGCTTGCGCTAATTTCAGATTTCTCCTCAATTGAATCTTCCTCGGTCAGAAGGAATAGGCCAACTCCACCGGTGCAGCTTTGAAGTTTTATTGATAGAATAATAGGAAGCACATGGGAGATGATGGGACAGATGATGACGTAGAGATAAGAACGATGTAGTTGTATTTGGTTTTGTATGTATATGTATGTGGGTGTATAGGTGTGTGTGTGTATATATGTGTGTGGTTATCTGAAACAGAAGAAACAATAAAGATGCATATTAATAGCCATGCGGGCAAATCGGCTACACATACATGCAGGATGAAAATGGCCTGTAGTAACACAGAAATCCAATAGAGGGCATCATAACACCACACATGGATTATCGGTAAAATGCAATAAACATACAAATGACAAAAAACCGTCAGAAGATATGAATTAACGGCAAATCTCCTCATATGCTTCTACAATGGTGATATATATCTGGCAAAGAATAGCATAGAACTTGAGTTATTACAAGTAATAGCTTGCATTATCGGTAGCCAGAGAAAACACAAGGCTAATTTCACCTCGTGGAGTAATAACTGACATAAACCCAAATATCGGGCAGAAAAATGTATACTTGCATAATAAAAACGCACACAGGTCTCATACACACGGGATTAAAGAAGGATTGATGGTGGATGCTATCCGTTGATGGATTTTTTATGCCACCGAGCCACACAGAAAATAACTTTCTCATCTACGTGAAAGTCGAACTACAAAAACAAAGATGCATCATGGGTATTGTAGTTCTAGAACGCACAGGTGGACTTTTAACACGGTATATCTCAGCACTTCCTTATATCCTAAAATTATTTACACACATATTGTGCATTTTTGAGCGGTACAGGAGACTAAGTGGTCTGAAAAGCGATCACTAGGTGGCGGAATGGTTCGCTGGTCAGAAAAATAGCCAGGCAAACCCAGAAGCAAGACGGAGCATCCCGGTGGTCTGTCCTCTGAAGTAAGTAGGAACTAAACCTGCCCTCCGATTATAATGAGACATGGAGTAATTATAAATGATTTCAGGTTACGTTTTATATGTCTGGTATTTGATACTCTGCNGCGTCCAAAGAGACAACACACTCAGCCAAATCAGTGGCACCGGAGTAAACAATATTAAACAGCCTTCTAACATTAAAATATGAGTGCCGACCTTTAATAAAACCTGTTTGGTCTTTTGAAATAACTGATGGTAAAACAGTTTAAAGTCTACGGGCAAGAATTTTGGATAAAATTGTGACATCTGTATTTAGGAGAGAGATAGTGTGATACAAGCTTCGTAAAATGATTGAGGAAGAGATCCTTGTTTAAAACAATCAGTAAGGGTGGAGCTGAGTTGCACAGAGAGCAAATCTGAGAATTGTTTGAAAAATTCTGAGGGGAGACCATCCGGACCCGGGCATTTGCCAGATTGCATTGAGGCAATTGCTAAGGAGACACCTGTCTGGGAGATGGGTTCATCTAACTTGTTCTTAAATTCTGGTGAGATTGAAGGAATGTGAAGTTTAGCTAGAAAGTTATCAATTATGTTAGAATTGGTTTGTGATTGTGAGCTGTAGAGCTCCTCATAAAAGTCCCTAAATGCATCATTAATTTGTCCATGATCTGTGACTATACTGCCGTCTTGTTTTCGAATTCTTGAAATAGTTTGCCTTGCCCTAGAGCCCTTGAGCATGGTTGCTAAAAGTTTATCGGCTTTGTCGCCATGCACATAAAATTTGGATTTGTTATGTAAAAGCAGGTGTTCAGCTGAGTGTGTTGTCAATAGGTCAAGCCTTGTTTTAACCTGTCATTCACGAGAGGACCCAAATTTGGGTCCTCTCGTGACAGGGGTGTCAAACTCCAGTCCTCAAGGGCCGCTGTCCTGCAACTTTTAGATGTGCCTCTGCTGCATCACACCTGAAAAGAATAATTACGTCATTAGCAAGGCTCAGGAGAACCGATCTACACAGGGAGGAGGTAATTAAGCTATTTCATTCCACAGTTTTTTACCTGTGGCACATCTAAACACTGCAGGACAGCGGCCCTTGAGGACTGGAGTTTGACACCCCTGTCATTGTGAATGACAACCTGTGAATGACAGGTTAAGTTCAACACGCCTTTTGAACAGTTCGGGACACTGATTCACAGCGTATTTTACATCAACCTCTTTGATTTGTTGAATTAGGTTGTTCTGTTCATAGGTGGACTGTTTTTAAATTTTTGCTGAATAGGCAATAATCTGACCTCTGATGTAGGCCTTAAAGGTATCCCATACTACAAGGCTGGAGATCTCTTGGGAAGAGTTAGTAGCAAAAAAAATCGTATCTCATCTTGAATAAACTTTACAAAGTTGACATCCGACAGCAGGGTTGAATTGAGACGCCATGGTCCAGTTCTTAGGGGGAAGTGAGGAAAGGAAAGGACAGGGACAGAGTGAGTGGGGCATAGTCCGAAATAACTATGCTTTGATAGTTACAAGAACGGATCTGCTGCAGCCATTTAGTATCTGTAATAAAATAATCGATTCTTGAATAAGTTTTGTGTACAGGTGAGAAGTATGAGTACTCCCTCTTGTCAGGATTTAAAGTACGCCACACATCACACAGCCCGTACTCAGATAGAAAGGTTTGGATGACTGATGCAGATTTGCTTATGACATTACTTTTTGAGGGATGAACGGTCTAAAGTTGGGTCCAGCCAACAGTTGAAATCGCCCCCCAGGACCAATGAGTATTTATTGAGGTCAGGTAGGGAAGAAAATAGTTGCTTAAAAAAGTTCTCATCATCTGTATTGGGAGCGTAAACATTGACCAGGGCGACCAGAGTGCCGTGCAGTTTCCCACTTACTATAATAAACCTGCCATATTTATCAGCCACCACATTCTCGGCCTCAAATGGAGTACTCTGGCTAATCAGTATGGAGACCCCTCGTGCCTTAACCTGAAAATGAGAGTGAAAACATTGTCCCTTCCAGCATGTCAGGAGACGACCCCCGTCTGAGCTCCTGATATGAGTCTCCTGCAGAAACGCCACATCTGTATTGAATCATTTAATATGGGAGAAAACCTTCCTTCTCTTCACTGGGTGGTTTAAACCTTTGACGTTCCAACTTAAAAAATTAAAATGCTGACTCATGGTTACAGAGCTTGTGCGTTAGCTTATTTTGATAGGTACGATGTCAGCATGGCAGGCAGAGATTGAAACAAAAGAGGTGAAAAAAAAAATGACGGTACCCTGCGAGAACCACCAGCAGTGACCTTAGCCGGCCCCCCAAAAATCCCCCCAAACATAAACAGCTGCCAAACAGAAAACAACAATATGGAAGCAAGCTCTTCAAAAGTAATATTCCTAGAGATCCAATCTTCCAGTAACCATCAACCTCAAAATCAGAGAACCAGAGCTACCTATAGCAAACTAACTACTGCTCCTAGTGGGCCTGGAATAGGTACAAACCCCCCAGTGACAGATTTTAAGACATATTTTACTGGCCTCTGCAAACACTCTAGAAAAATAGTAATGTAATAAAATTTAAAGCAACCACAAGAAAAAGCATGGAGAGAGGCTCCAGATACTGTTGGTGTAAACCAAACAGGTGTTGATGCGGCTACCCTTCCATTCATAAAATCCAGTCCCAGCCAGAAGAATGGCCAGAATCCATTGGAAATAAGGTAGTATGACACCAGGTTATATGTACAGTACCTTCTGCGCCCTGAGGAAAAGCAGCCTGCCTGTGTTTCTGGAGTAAGCCCTCGGTAAAACGTTGCTCCTTTATTGGTTTTCCTGTGGTTTTGGAAGCCTCTTGATGAACTGTTGAGCCTCCTCCACCGAACCGAGAAATTTTTTGGCACCGCTGGATTGCGTTATGCGAAGATGGGCTGGGAAGAGAAGAGCTGGCTTCAAGCCCCACTTGTAGAGCTCCACCATGATGTCCTTGTACTCTGCCTGTTGGGCCAGGACGTCTGGACTGTAGTCCTCCACAATACGAAGAGACACGCCTTTGTAGTCGAGCTTTCCTCTCTTCCTGGCTTCCCGAATGATGAGGTCTTTGGTCAGGTATCGATGTAGGCAAAGAATCACCGGGCGAGGAGGACGTCCTACGGGCCGTTTAGCTGCTAGGGAGCGGTGCGCTCGATCGAGTTCTGGTGGGGTCGGGAGCACCTCTTTCCCAAATAGCTCACACAGAAGGTTGGAGAAAAAATTAGTAGGGCGCCCACTTTCAGTGTCTTCTGGCAGACCAAGGATGCGGATCTTCTGCCGTCTGCTACGGCTCTCCAAGTCACCCACTTTGTCTTTTAGCTTAGCATTTTCTTCACAGAGAGCCGCATATGAGTCTTCGAGGCCAGCCACTCGCTGACCCAAATCTTCTGTTGCTAGCTCCAAAGAGGAGACTCGCTCTGCCTGTTCCTCCAGGGTCTGGCCACATCTGGTCTAGCTTGGAGCTTAGCATGTTGGCAGAAGACTTGAACTCAGATTTCAGGTCCTCACCGTGTTGCTGAAGCAGTGCGGTGATAGCCT